AAAAAAAAAAAAAAAAAAACAGGCTCATAAACAAGGTGTTCTCTTTGTAACGAGTTACATCTAAACACGTTTTAACTTGATATTTGTTCTAAGAACAATTCTCGCACATGCCATAAGATACATATGCTAAGAACAATTCAAAAGTTTCTCCTTAATCTTCTCCAAGGGTGAAAGTGCAGCTTTTGTAAGGTACAAACAGAAAAAAATTGAATACCTGGGTCGAGGTGATGTGCATCCTAGGACTCATAAAAGTGAACTGTAGAGAGGGGCAAGTGGCCCTTTTCCTCTGATGCCCAAGGGGCAACTCACAAAAGTTTGGTTCCCATTGTGATGGAATTTGGAACTCCAAGAAGTATTGCAAGTCCCCTAAAGAAGGTTTATCTGTAATAGCGCAATAAAGATAAATATTACTAAATCAACGAAGAATGGCTTTAATCTCATTTAAGAATTAAAATTCAGGATAGGGAACCGTATATTTTGAGAGAAGAAGCCCAGACGGATCAACCAATGAACCAAGATAATCAGAGGCTACTAAGCTTAGAGAAGTCGATAAATGCAACTAGGACTGTACGTTACATCCAATTTGAAAGAATAAAAATGCTCAATTTACCTCATAAGTTTACGGTGAATTGTGAGATCTCACATTGGTTGGAGAGTGGAACGAAACATTCTTTATAAGGGTGTGGAAACCTCTCCCTAGTAGACGCGTTTTAAGACCTTGAGGAAAAATCCAAAAAGGACAATAACTGCTAGCGGTGGGTTTGAGCGGTTACAAATGGTATCAGAGTTAGACACCGGGTTGTGTGCCAGCGAGGACGCTGGCCCCCAAGGAAGATGGATTGTGAGATCTCACATCGGTTGGAGAGGAGAACGAAGCATTCCTTATAAAGATTTGGAAACCTCTCCCTAGTATAGGCGATTTAAAACCTTGAAGAGAAGTCCAAAAAGGACAATATCTGCTAGCGGCGGACTTGAGCTGTTACATGAATTCTACCAACAGTTTCACACCCTACCCTTGATGAAATTAATGTCGGTATACATGTTTAAGGCTATTTCTCCGGAAATACTACTCTACAGACAGAAGTTCAACCGGAAATGAAACAGGTAAAAAAAAGGGTAAAGTGAAACAAGAGTTAATACTAGAACGAGCATGGAGTTTGCTTACAGCGTAAGTACAAGTTTATCGCATGGCTAAGATAACCACTGCCAGCAACCCCAGTAAGAAGAGAAGTAATAGGTACAAATCTGAATAAGATAACTTCCGGTTTAGAGCTAACAGTCGGAAGCCAACTGGTATGAGTATGCAAGAAGGGATCCCCTCCTCTTTTAGAGCAAATTAAGGTGATTCCCTGATACGTTCAGAGTAAACATGAGAGATTACATGCTGCACATTTCTCAGAATTAAGTTCAGATTTTAAATTCTTGACTTACATCCTTGCTTGATGTTTCTGAAATACTGGCCAACTGTATAGAACTTGACTGCAATATTCGTGTGAATATTTCTGGAACCTGTAAGAGAAGACTATATTCAATCATTCATTACACAAAAATACTTCTTCAATCATATTTCTTCTTTATTTAGGAGAGGAATTGAACAATTTTTTGTGCTCGACATACCTTTCCATCTCTTTTCCTCGGCTGAGTAGGACTTCTTCTATCGGAGAACAGAATGTCTCCAAGATCCTCCAAATGTCTCCGAAGCTCAGCAGGAGGTATTGACGAGGAAGGTTTCTGCCGTACTGAAATTAAATCTTGACCTCCAATGGCCGTTCCTACTATTATATGTGTTCCATATGTCTGTATGAACCTGCCTACTAAAATTCATTAGTGTTAAAAAAATGAAAAAAGAAACTCAAGAAACTGCTGAGTATGATATTAAAGGAGTGTAGCAAAAACCAAAAAACTCAACTAAACCTTGAATAAAGCCTTTTGCAATATCCTTTTTCTTTAATTTGATCTTTCTAGCTTCTCAGGTCTAGGATTGGACAACTCGTGCTCCCTTCCTCTCATTATACATTTTTTTATTTCAAATCTGTGATGACGGAAGAAACGAAGCCTTCCTTATAAGGGTGTGAAAACCTCTCCCTAGTGGACACGTTTTAAAATCTTGAGGGGAAGTTTGGAAGGAAAAACCCAAAGAGGACGCTATCTGCTAGCGGTGAATTTGAGTTGTTACAAATGGTAGGAAGAGCCAGACCCTGAGTGGTGTGAATTGTGAGATCCCACATTAGTTGGAGAGGGGAGAAGTATTCTTTATTTAGGTGTGGAAACCTCTCCTTAGTGGACGCGTTTTAAAACTTTGAGGGGAAGCCCAGAAGGAAAAGCCCAAAGAGAACACTAATTGCTAGCAATGAATTTGAGTTGTTACAAATGGTATCAGAGCTAGACACTATTTGCTAGCAATGAATTTGAGTTGTTACAAATGGTATCAGAGCTAGACACTATTTGCTAGCAATGAATTTGAGTTGTTACAAATGATATCAGAGCTAGACACCGTGCAGTGTGCAGCGAGGACGCTGGGCACCCAAAGGGGGTGGATTGTGCGATCCCACATCGTTGGAGAGGGAAATGAAGTATTATTTATAAAGATGTGGAAACCTCTCTCTAGTAGACTATTTTAAAAGCCTGAAAACTTAGCATAACAATGGACTAACTACGTATGCGAAAAAA